CAATTGGCGAAAATATGGAGGACAAAATTCCACAGCAGGTTTCTTTAAGAATTCCCCACGCCTTTTTTTTCATTCACAGAATCCTGTCCTTGTGCTTATACAGCCCCCAGTTTCAGTGAAAGTGCGTTAACTCGAGGTCAGTCATGAGGCAGGAAGATACCAAAAACAACATCTATGATCCTCACGTACCTTCAGGATTCACTGAGAGCGTCACTAGGGAGGTATGGGGCAAAATCCGCCGAAGCAGCTGCAGCTTGCAGTCACGTGGTAATAAACTCTGCAATGCAGGTTAAAAATCACGTGATAGGGAACTCTCTAGTGGTAAAACTTCATTTTGAAATCTTTTACAACGTCCTTCAGAGATGGTGGTAAATGTATGTCATGTACCACTTTTTACTGTAACAGGAGGTAGTAATTTTAAACGCCAGAGAGTTCTCAGGAGTCATGAGCCGCAAAAACCCCAAACTCAGATAGTTTTTGCTTACAGGGGCGGCACAAGATGTAGTTGCAAGCCAATGACGAGATGAATTGCGTTTCGCGATGATGGCAAATTAATTCCTTTGAGCCTTTATCGAATGCTACTCTTCTTAATTTTATAACATTCTTATCTATAATTTCTTCACTTCCGTTGTTGCCATATCTCGAAGTCGACAACAAGATAAATAGCATTTAGCGATGATGGCATAAAAATTTTGTTGTGTCTCTCATCCAATGGCAAAGACAGTGACGGGCGACGGCAGCATAACGACCCAGTTTCAACTACTTCAGAGAGCGCGCACGCTCGCGCAATTTCTACTGTTTCTTCAGTCCATGTTTCAAATGCGAAGCAAGAATAGCGATATTCGTAAATTTGATCGTATCTATCTATCTATCTATCTATCTATATCTTATCTATCTATCTATCTATCTATCTATCTATCTATCTATCTATCTATCTATCTATCTATCTATCTATCTATCTGTCTGTCTGTGTTTCTGTCTGTCTGTCTGTCTGTCTGTCTGTCTGTCTGTCTGTCTGTCTGTCTGTCTGTCTGACTAGCCACCTCTAAATTTGTTCTCTTCAGATCGTAATATTTAAGGGACACGTTAAACGTCAAATATCAGTCAATCAAATCAACCAAAGTTAGAATGGCATCACCTGGCTGTATGAAGAACAGGAAAACACGAGCGGTCATAGCATTAAAATCATGACTACCTTCTCATGAACGGTATGGCTTCCACACCATGGCCGTCGTGCTCCTGCGGCCATTTCACTAACTTGACATCTTTAAAAGTCTTCCTTTTGCGCTACAGCTGTAAAGTACAAGGAATACCAACTAGTGCTCCCCCACACCTTGATTTTAAAGTTAGTCGGATTACACATTTGTGTTGTCACAACCTGTCCATTAGGTTGTTGTGCCTGAACAGCATAAATGACAGGTGGTAATATAAAAGTCATGACAAGCATGCCATGTGCGTCCTGTTTCACCTCCAATGCTTACAGTGCGAACGAAGCCGACGATTGATTCATATGAGCGGTTTAACATCCTAAAACACTCAAATGACTATGAAAGACGCCGTAGTGGAGGGCTTCAGAAATTTCGACCACGTGGGGTTCTTTAACGTGCACCCGAATCTGTGCACGCGGACCTACAACACTTTCGCTTTCATTAAAAATGTAGCCGCGGCAGACGGGATTCGTGCGACCTGCGGGTCAGCAGCTGAGTACCTGAGCCAATAGACCACCGCGGCGGGGCAGTGCGCTTGAAGTCGTTTCGCTTGGTTGATATACACCAGAAGTTGTATTGCGTGACATGTGTGACCAACATAAATGACATGTCCTAGCATGAACCATCGCATGCATAATTTTATTTATTTATTTATTTATTTACAATACTGCCAGTCTCTTACGAGACCAAAGCAGGAGGGCATGAGTATCAAAATACAATGAATGCTAAGTACTTTCTTACAGGCGGCATACAGAACTGTAGTTATTTTAAAATTAGTAATAATAATCCTAGTTACATAGAAACATTAGACATAGGTATTTATGCACTCCAAATATTCACACTTCGGAAGCAGCAAACTAAATCTTTGCTGCATAAAAAAAAAATCAATACAGTTTTATACAGAGAAGGCATTGTGTAAACTTATACATCCAAATAAATACTACCGGAAAACAATATTGGAGGTCATGGTTGAAGAAAGCCGTTGTCTCAAAGTATACTCTCAATTTTTGAAGTGAATTCTGCCAGTGATGTTACGTTAGTAATGGAGGGATCTAACCTATTCCATTCGCTGATTGACAGGGGGAAAAAGGATTGCTTGAAACAGTCGTTGTTGGAAGAGTATTCTTTGATAGTGTATGCATGTTTATGTCGTAGTGTTCGTGATTCTGCCAAAGATATGTACCTGGATGCATCGATCCGGCTGTGGTTATGCAGAATGTGGTGTAAAAATTTGAGACGCGCGATTTTTGCTCTTGTTGCAAGAGTGGGTAGACCGGAGGTTTCTAAAAGGTGTGTGGGTGAGTACATCACAATTTGCTGCCTGCTGGATGCTTCGCATTGCATGGAGTGTCACAATGTGTAGAAACAGCCGGTTTTCCTTGTTTTTTAAAGGGTGCATGTGCCGTAAGGTTTCATTATCAAGTTTTTCTCTCGGGAGTACTTCTATAAGTCTTCCTGCTTTGTGAACGCTTGAAGACAGCTTTTTTTATTTTCTTAACACGACAGTGTCAAAGAGCTCGGCGTCAGTGGCATCGGTGCCTTTTGTATTGAGCACAAAAGGAGCGTTGACCTTGAGCGAAAGTTTTAGGTGTGTACAAATAAAGCTGGAATCCAGAAGCGTGTTTGCACTTAGTTCTTTAGAGTGGTGAAACTCGATGATAAATAATTTGAAATTGTGCACTTTATTTCTTGCGTGTTATGGAGTGGTGCTTCAATGCTTGTTATGTGCATGTTCCGACTATTGGCGCTGGCTCTCTGAAAAGCACACCGCTATGCTTGCACAGATCAGTGCAGAACCACTGCCGGGAAAAAAGGTTATGCTTATTTGCTGAAATTACGAGCAGAGCAATGTGGTACATTACGGCACGGCATGTTTACCAAGCCGGAATGTGAGCTCACCGAAATGCAACCGGCGTTCACTTTCTGCTTGCAAATAGGTGTCATCAATGCTTCACGCGCGCAAGCGGTCATGAAGACGCAGGAGTGATGTTTGGGAGCGCTGGGAGTGTTTGAGTACGAGTGAACATAATCACGTGCATTTAAGATCACCGTTTTTTTTTGCGTATGTCAACGGTTTTTGTCATGACACGTTGAACAGGCAGCTTTCATCCACACAGCTGGGACAGTACGTGAAGCCTGATGGCTAGATGCCCAGGCCATGGCAGGTACCCAACGGTGTTCCACGTCATGGTGGAGTGCACCGCGAATTTATTACCTCCCCTCCCTGTGATCTTGCGTCCCTTCCGCACCAAAATGATGTGAGGTGATCCCCTCCGCATGTGACGGGCCTCTCGAAAATTCCTCAGGCTTGGGTTCGACGAGCCCATGTCGCCAAAGTCCAAAGCGCTGCCTCGCACATGATTGAATAAATGAAGGACTATAGTAGGCTACAACAAAATCAGCTAAAAGTGCTGCTTGGGCGAGCTAACTCAACATTAACTGAACTGCGCATGTCTTCTCTATAGTTTTTACCCTATTTTTTATGTAAGTTTATATTTCTTTCTTCTTTTTAAAAGGTTCACTTTTTTTCCCATGTTTTCTACTGAATGCTTTGACTTCTCTGGCTTCAACGTGTTTTAGGATCCACTATCCTGTTCACTTTATTCGTATATTGGGGGTTCATTTTATTCGTATATTCATATGCTTTGTGGTCTAAAACTTTTTGACTGCACTCTTACTTTTGGTTGAATATCTTTCTCTAGCTGTCACGATGTTTTTGTCGTTTATTCTCACCATGTTATTTTTAACTTGCTTCGATACATGCCGAGAAATAAGTCTTGGGTTTGAAATTGTGATCTTGTTGAGTTTGGCGCTATCTGTGTGTGTGTCTTCCTAATTGTTTTGTCTTTTTGCACTAATAAATTCACTATAAAAACAGGTATTTCGGTTTACAACTTCTATTGATATGTGAAGTTTAACGTCCCACAACCACCTTATGATTATGAGAGACGCCGTTTACAAATTTCAAAATACCTTTATGCGAGTTTCACTGTGTATCTCTTCGTATTACTACGTAGCCTTGAAGCGAATGACGCCTACCCCGAGACAAGGCGCGTGAAGTTTATAGTGGTGTTGTGGGTGTGCAGGTGCCTACAGCGGACGCGTTTATCAGTTTCTCTGCCTACCTCTCTCAATGCCCTTCCTCGGTATTCCAGCTGAAAACTCATGGAGATTGGGCATCTACTAGCAAAGTGCCATGTGAGCGTGAGCGTGTGCTGGTGGTTTAGAAGATGGTGTTTCATCTTGGAGCTCTCGTTCGCATAATGAACATAAGCAACAGTCATTATTTTTAATACAATGTGCTCTCTTTCGATTGAGCGACAGTCGGAGATACAAGATTGGGCAGAGTTATCTTCACCGCTTCTGTGATTAGGAGTGGTGGACGATAAAAACAAGTTCTGAAACAAGCTAGCATATGGTAAAGTTGTAAAATGGGCTTTGAAAACTCTCGCACTTTGCAGGAGTGAAGCGAGCACTTTACACTGTTCTGGTGGGAGAAATGAAACACGCTTTCACTTCTGACAAAAGAAAATAAGTGCATTTTTAGACAAAGTGTAATTTGTTAATTACTCTGGAGATTCATTGATCAAGCCCTATACCTCTATTTGCCGGGATCTCAGTGTTTAGAGTGTATCTACAAGCATTCCCATAAGTCATTATTTATTGGTTCTTTATTGAATCGGCGCCATTTAGCTACATTTAAAACTGCATTTTCTACTGCTGTACTTTTACAGTTCATTTGCGCAGGACAAGCGCGTTTGATTACTCGATTAACAATGATTGCTTGCGCAGACAAAATGCGTCCTGGCCATACGGGAACAAGATCATATCTCTCAGTTTTCACCATGAATGTGCCGTCCTAAACACGTCTGTCGGCTTCATTGAGACAAGACCGTGCGACGACAAGCACAAGTTCGTCTGCATATACGACAACCAGCAGCGGTTATTCGACCACTCAGGTGCGTTCACTCTGAATCTTTGATTAAATGATACTGAATGTGAACATATCTGTTGGCACGTTTTTAAAGAATGCTTTCAAAAATGTATCAAGTTCTATTCTCTCATAAAAATGATGGCCACATGAAATGGGAAACTAGAGAGCCCAATGCGAAAGAAACTCATGCCATGGCAAAGCAGTGATTGTGACAGCAGCAAATAAGAATGTGATAGCAGCAAATGAGAATCCTCTAGAAAAGGATGAGTAAGACAGGGTTCCTTCAGAAAGCGAAGTGGTTGTTTGGCTCTCTGTCAAATCAACGCGTAGTTAACAATGAGGGCGCTATGCAAACTTTGAAAGTCACATAGCACATAGGAAAAGCGCCACGATGTTTTCAACGTGACTTCGTATGGGCCTTGGTGGTGATGAAACAAGTGCACTTCAAGTGCCCGCCCGTATATTGCTTAGCAGTAAAAATTTCCAAGTCAATATTTGTTCTTAGTAGTCACAAAAACTAAATATTCCTACTCGGTATTCAGAAAACCAAAAGTTTCAGGAGTACCGGTGCTCGACATACATTGTAATATTGAGGAAGCTGGCTACACTGTGGCAAGTTATGAACTCAAGGAATTGTGAATTGATCCCTAGAATGTCAAGACAACATGTATGCGAATAGATCGTGAATTCCCAGTGATTGCGTCTTTGAAGAATGCCTAACCTCAGGTTGCTAAATGTCTGTTCTGCGAAAAAGAAGGAAGCTTGTTTACACGCAATCACTCATCGGTTTTCTTTTTGTCTCTTCTTTTGACTCGAAGAGAACACAGACTCGAATGACAACGCTTTTTCAGAAACCAATTGGAACTGGCACTGGCGAAAGCACGGAATCTTCGTTAAAACGGGATTGACTTTGCTAATCATACGTGTAATATCATAATCATGCCGCCATGGCTTCATTAATAATCCTGGTCTAGAAGTTTAAGACAAGAGAGCAGATTGCTACATAAAAGAGAGTCCGGCAGAGTGAGCACGTTATCGCGCCCTTGCCAACAAAACTGGCGCGCTGTAGTTTCACTAATTAGAAGCACTTTTGGTGCGATTGCACAATTCAATGAATTTCTCGCTCTCAAGGTTTAGCCATTTGTGATTGTAGCTAGGTTTAGGAAAATTCGATACCAAATCACGAAGTTTGTTTGTCCTAATTCCTAAATCAAGCTTTTTTAATGCCATGAAGCAATCCAAGAAGGTCAATAAACTGAGTAAGCAACAACTCTATCCTAATTGATATTAGCAGTGTGTATACGTATGATATCCCCCTCAGAGGCATGCGGTCTCGTGTACGGAGCAAAATCTAAAATTTTACTGCAGGTGTGATTACCACACAAGCCCATCTGATTACTTAAACTTTGTTTTCCGCTGGCCTGGCTCTACCAAACTTTTTGAAAGCACCACAATGGCAATGATTCCTTGTCACTCAAGTTAAAAAAAACAAAAAGTAAAAGAAGGGTTCGGAATGACCGGAACACATATCTGAAACTTCATCGGAGGCACCCTTTCGAAAATCCTGGGTTGGTGGATGCTGGAATCGTTGGTGAAAATGGTGAAAATAATACTGTGTATAGTGGAAATAATAGTGGATATGGTGGAAACTGTTGTGGCCATAATGGCTGATGACAGCGACAGTGAAAAAAAATGGTGGCAGATGGTGGTGGTGGTGGCGAGCCGATGGTGGTGACCGTTGAAAATGCAAAACGTGCTTCTTGGAAGGTCTGGTGAGCAAGCTGGATAACGGTGGCGTCATGGAAGCTAGGTGAATGATGATGACATGAATAAAAAAACCGCATGGCAGTATGTGAAACTACATTTTGTAGTGTTTCATTCTTGAATGCACAGAGATATATGTTTACGGTAAAAGAAACCAACACTGCTTATTACGCTTGCTAGCACATTTTTTATTCCTGCACTCTAAGCCTAAAAAGACTAAAGTGGGGAATGCCATTGGTTCTTTAAGGGACAATGGGCTGCCACAGATTTTGAACCAATTTTTGACTAACTGCGGGAGCAACAGCAAGAGCTAAATTGTTACCCCCTAGCATAAAGTCAACTTGGTTTAAATTTTGGTCCAAGTAGAATGCTTCAGTGGAACTAACAGTTGAACCGTCTGTACGATTGACAAAAAATGACGACACTGCACTAGTGGAGTATATTTTATGTTTATTCCTGTTTATTCAGCACCGGAGAACGCAGTAAATTGGTCATTAAACACACACACATATATATACATCTATAAACATACGTAATAGATTTCAAGGTAAAACACCGCAAACACAGACCACCCGCGCTACCATACAGAGAACGAACTATCAGATATATATAGCACAGTATTTGGACCTCCCTTGTAGTGCCAGTGAGCAACCTTTACTCAGTTCAAAAAACAATAAACTTCGACACAACAACGTGAAACTTTACAGAGGCTAGTTTGAAACACCAAAGCGCACAGTTTTTTTTTTAATGGATCTATCTAATCTTCAACATCCCTGCAGTCAGAGTCAGTCAACATCCCTGCAGTCATTATCAGCTGGCAGTGAATCATGTCGGCTGAACTAGCATTCGCGGTGCTGATGCATATATCGGCAAACACATACATAGCAGCGGCGCTCATGCAGCAAAGCAGGTGAAGCAGCCCGGCGCCCCGCTGTTGCCATAATGCTTGCCGATAGCGTCGCTAGGCTTACGAGGAGTGCGGCCAAACTACCGCTGGCGATCGCAACATGAGGCTCACGTTTCGTCGTCGTTATTTTATAGACACAAATGAACAATAGGTAGGTGTCCAATGTTCATGGTGGCTTACGGAGTGATGTAGATATCTGTATACTTACAGTGACGAGACAGTTCGCTGACACGGTTCTTTCATAGTGCTGGTAAGCCGCTCGCTGTGCACCGCCGGCCACACACTAAGTCGTATCCGTGATTGCCTTCACGCTTGATGTTTGACAATGATTGTCGCGTGTAGAAAAAGACATAGGTTTTTCGCAGCTTTAATGCAAGTGATAATATTTTCTGCGAAAGAAATTTATGCGACGTTTCTTTCGCGTGCGCCGGCAATGCACGTACGTGGGCAGCCAGCTTGATACCGATGACGTAAAAAGCCTACTTTTTCTATATGTCGCTTTGAAGTTATGGCCAGTGAATGCGGTTCCACGACCATGGACGAACTGCTACAATGTTCTTCGTAGTTATAACTAATTCAGCACATTGAAGCGAGTTACCCGCATTGTCCGTGTTCGTGGAGACTTCCATTTGGTTTCAGCCCGCCCGTGCCGGGATGGTGATAACGTGAGGACACTTGCTGTGCGCACTGACTGTGCGTTGTACTTGCCTCTCAAAACATCTTCTATTTGTTTCATAGTGCTTCACTTTCACAGTGGTGCATATAGCCGATTTAACTTGTTTTCGTGATCACTGACTGCGCCGAGCATTGCAGTGCAGCACCAACAAAAGGCGATCGCGGCGCAGTCACCCTCCCCGTTGGTCCCTTCATTGCCGGGCGTTCGCGCTAACACGCAGTGTCTTGCAATCAGTCCCTGTTGAATGAACCGTTCGTCCGATGGTTTAACGACTGCAGTTAGTCCAACTTTGCCAACTTTTGGTTTAGATTGCGCGGATCCAACCCGATGCTGCTCATTACGCTTTCTAGCACGTTGATTTTTTATTCCTGTGGTGTAAAAAACGCTTCAATTTTTGTGGAGCGTAGAAAATGCCAACAACGCTTCAATTTTTGTGGAGCGTTAAATATGTGATCGTGAATGTGTTTACATTTCGCGCATGTACTTACATCAGTTGGACATCCGTGAGGTGTTTATTTGTTGTGAGGTTTGGGTGATTGGAGCTGTCACTAAGAACAGAGACAATAAATGTTTTACATCACCGCACAGTTGTTGAAAAATAAATAAGCTACGGTTCGCAATTGCACCCTTCAATGTTGAAGCGGAATACAGTGGTAACTTGATGTCGCCACGCTGGAACGCAACTCTGGCGATTCTCGCACACTCTAATGCGTGAACTGTGCATTTAAGGTAACCAAGTGCGTGCAACGCTAATATGCATAAACAATGAGCTTGGACACGCGTCGAGACGAGCCCCAGTGAGTTTTACTTTCAGCACTCTGTTATACCACCATTATTTCCACCAAAGATTACGCCTACGAGCCGAGCCAGTACAAATGTGAACGGCGCTTTTGGTTTTCAGAATGCACATTTTAGACCAGTACGAATCCCAATGCAGCACAGCCGTGGCATCATTCAACCCAACTGAAACCTTTTTTTGTTGTGTATGGCGTCCGCGCAAGAAGTGACAAGCATCAATGCGAAGCGCATGCAGCACTTCCACCAAATGTATGCCTCCGGACCGTCACTGACAGCCGCCGGTCGCACTCGCCGCCACTTCTCTGGCTGTTATGCGAGAACACAGACTCGTCAATTCGTATGCTTACTGAACAAATATGCCAGCATAATGTTTTCAGGTCACTGCATTCGTTTTTACCAAGCTGTTCTCGGATGAAAATATATCAAGTGGTGCCAGTTGGTTCCAAGTGGTCCCCCTTGAACTGGTTTATGGTGAAATTCGCAGTTGATCCCAGTAATGACTGAGACCAACTGGCACCAGATAGTACCAGTCCCAACTGGGACAAGTTACACTCGAACTAGTAGAAATTTTGGCACCAGCGCCATACAAGCTGCCCACGAGCAACCATGCATGCACAGATGATGCTAAGCAAAAGCAATTCAGCCAATTAAAATTTATTTACATTTGCAAGAAAAACTTTTTTACAATGTAATAATGTTCATTGTAGCCAGTCCCTTTGTAGTTTTCCGCGCATCTTGAATTTTTTTTGAGAGCACCTTCGTTATGTTGTAGATCGTGTAGGAGACGTCTTCTCCCTTCATGATGCCCCAATGGCGGACAGTGGCTGTAAAATATAAGTTAACAACTTAGTGCATTCTCCAGGTCAACAAAACCAGAACT